AACAGTGAATTGATGAGAAACTGAAGAGAAACAAGGGCAGGTAAATAAAAGGATAAACTGTGGTACAAGGAAAGGGGAACCATACAGTTCATAGTTCTTAGAGGAAGGTGGAAAACTTGACCTTTAGCCATAGCATCCAGAGAAGCCACACATATCAGAGATACTAGAAATGCATAGGAAAAAAGGATTTTGCTTAAAACTGCCTTACACTGAAGTTTTCCCCAGGTATATTGGACTTCTAAAAAAATTTTTTTTAAATTCTGGACTTTTTCAAAAAATGTGACTGCTTTGTATGTATTTGTAAACAGTTACAACAAACGTGGAACAAATATTTTAAGAGAACCTGCTTTGTAACACTGGAAAGTTAATTCTAGAATCTAAATATAGTGTAATTGTAGTAGTATAATACATTATTAGAAATGTTAATGTAAAACTAATTTTGGTATCTCACATAGAAATGTGTCAAACACCAGTATACGCTGACAATTCTTGTTACTTAGGTCAGTTTAATGAATTGTGGGGTGATGGTGTAGGAGGGGGAGTTTCCCTTAACATTTCTTATTTAATTAAATATAAACATGGTATGGCCTAAGAGTTTTCAGCACAAAGTCTTGTGGTGATATCTGACCTGTTATCTAAATCTTATTTGCTTAAATTAAAATTTTATTTATCAATTATTTAAAATTTAATAGGGCCTAGTAAGTAGAATACAACAGAATTACCTAATAGAAGGTAGTCTGGATCAGTGTCCAGTAAGCTTTTTTGATCATAAAACGTATTTTGAATTAAATGATTTGGCGTAGAAGTAGCCACTATTTTGCCATCAAAACACTCATAAAAAGTGTTTTGATCAAAATAGTAGTTACATAATTATTTGGTGAAAGAAATTGTTTAAATTTTTTATTTAATGTGTCTATTCTGCATTGGAAAAAATATCCATAAAATCACAAGTGTGTTGAGAGTTTAAGACAAGCAGCATTAACACATACCAGCAATAGATAGAATGCAGTGGTTGGTTGGTCCGTGCTGCCTGTGTGTGCTTTGCTGCAGTCAAGGGTGGAATGTTGTGCACTCATCGCATTAGTGATTTCTCCGACAATTTCTTGGTACTTCTTGATATTTGGGGTGTACCATTTTTTAAAGGCATGGTAAGAGCATCCAAATGTTTTAAATTTTGTTTTACCTTTTATTTCTCTCAAAATAAATTTCAGGAAAAAATGGTGGTGGTATCGATTTTGTCTACAGAACAGATGTGTTTGAAAGTACTAATGTTCTGCAGAACACTGTTTGGGAAATTTTTAAATCTGTTGCT